AATGAGGGGATGATGTTCTTTTGGTGTGTACATCACTGGTGTGTGGTATTATTAGATGTCTACCAAGCAACAGCCTATAAAAATCCTATTATTTCTATATATTTTTAATGGATAGCACTGTAAAGCAATTGATAAAATCAAATGTGCAAACTGCAAAACAGGGACATTCAGGGAAATATCACTCCATACACTACTATTCAAAAGTTTGGGGTCGGTAAGATTTCTATTATCCTCACCAAATACGCATTTATTTGATCAAAAATACAGTATAAAGAGTAATATTGTGAACTAGTACTACAGTTTAAATATTACTACTGTTTTCTATTTTAATATACTTTAAAATCTAATTGAATCATGTGATGGCAAATCTGAATTTTCAGCTTTACTGTCACATTAGATCAATTTAATTAATCCCAGCTGAAAGTATTAATTTCTTTCAAAAAAAAACTTACATTTGGCCCCATACATTTGGTAGTGTACATTTATATATGTGGGCATATTTTGGCTACATCATAGAGAGTAACTGAAAATTAGACATGGTAAAAAAGTAAAGCTTAAATGAAAGGTGCTTATCTTTGAAGAGCTGTTGAAATATGTACTGCTAAAAAATATTTTCACAAATTTTTAAAACTGTCTGCAAGGAAACCTGAAAAAACTATTTTCTTTTTCCTCAATGTGTACAATCATGACAATCAGATCAGCTCAAGCCCTTTTAAGGATACATACGACGTGAGCTAATAAATCCCAGCACTGAACGACTATGTATGTATAAAATGAATAAAGCTACAAGTAGTCAAACCCTCAGGACTGTAGCTCAATCAGAGAATACAACCAAATTAATTCTGTGCCAGACATATGAGTGTTTTTTAAATTTTGACCTTTATGTCACTTATTTATATGGATAGTAGAGAGAGTACAGGGAGTGAAGGATAAACAAATAGGGCCCACTGGAAACCGTTAACCAGCTTCACCATGCTAGTCAATCAGATTGATCAAACTCAAAGCAGCCCAGCTCATTATGCAATGTGCACTAACCGCTCCAACACACAGGGTTTTAAATTGAGAGCTACAGCATGAGAAAAACAGAACAAGTGTAGCTGACTGAAAACACGATACAGCCACATAATATAAATGTCTGCTGAGATATGAAAGCAATAATGATACCCTTAATTTCATGGAAATTACTGGAAATAGTTGACAAGCATGGAAATCCAGAAACATGTCTCGTGTGAGGCCTACCACCTTATTTAAGATGTTTTTCTCCTCTTTTACAGTGCTAGTATAAACCATTTTACATACAGAATTGCTGAACTGCTAAAGAAAACCTACTGCTATACACTGCAATTTGTCTTGTGCTTTGTTGGTAAACTTCAATAAATAAATAAATAATTCCTTAAACCACCTCAGCTGGGTATAATCATAATCTTTGTTCCCATCTATTCGTTGATCTCTGACCCTCACGACATCTTCCAGAAAAAATGGTGGATCAGTCTCTCTGAAAAGACCACCCAGAGAACGAAGCACATGAGCTAGTCAAACCCTCACTTCTGTCCAAATGGCTTTCTTCATCTCACGACAGAGACTGGACAGACAGTTTGCACATCAGAACTGTCCATTTAAGTCACTTTAAAGAAAGGGAAAAGGAGAAACAAAATATACGACCATACGAAATGACACTTTCAGAAAGTGCTCCCAGTTCCTCAAAGTCCTCTGGGCTTGGGAAGTCTTACAGACATGATTAAAGCATCTGATCAAAGCACGCTTTGGATTACTCTTACTGAAGAGCAGAAGTGCTTACGGCCCTTCCTCCGGGCTGCTGTGGTTTGCTGGACACCCTCTTGTGTTGGGGCTTCTACAGGAGTCTAAGAAACCCCTCCGTAGCTCTTCCGTAATTGTTTACCTTGGGGGACATGCATAGGGTTGAAGAGCGTGCATGAGATTAGAGTTAGAATAAGAGATAATATTGAGAAGAACCTACAGTACAGTCTCTACTTCCGCAGAAACCCAGCAAGAGTGACCATATTGGCACTGTGAAGGCAACTGAGCCAGTTCCAACATTTTGTCGCATCTCTTGTGTCTGGTTTAAGGGTATGTGAGCCCTGCTCCAGTTGAAGCGCTTCAAGCTTCACAGTGCATTCCCTCATTCCACAGTAAGTGCCCTCAGCGTCGCTGGCAGGCTCAGGGGGAACTGAGGCAGCATGACAGCACGGATCTTCCGTTGCTGAAGAAGAGCTGATGGAAAAACTTAGGGCAGAGTGCAGTGTGGAGGGAGGTCAAGAGGTGAAAATCTGGAAGGTTTCATTGCTGCTAAAAGCCGCTCACTCGATGGGGTACGTGGGGTAGTGCGTCGGGGGTTGAGGGCAGCCGTGGCCCACAGGAAGGGTTGAGTGTCGTTCTGGAGGAAGGCGTTTAGAGAAGAGGTCAGTGTCCACTCCTGGTTGAGTATCACCGTAGATGTCACCTGAAAGAGGATGAGAGGCGTTAATGGGAAGGTCTAAATAGCACAGTCTGCTTAATATTGCATGCAAAAGTAGTAACAGGCTGTTTGTTTTACTTTCAAGCAGAAAATAAAGTGGTTTCTGGGTTACTATACAGATTTTTTTCTTTTAATAACACCAAACATCATAAAATGGTCATCAGAAGTTTTCTATTTCAGTATATTTTAAAATGTCATTTTTTTCCAGTGATGGCAAAGCTGTATTTTCAGAAGCCATTACTCCAGTCTTCAGTGTCACATGATCCTTCCGAAATCATGCTAATATGCTGAATGCTAAATATTCCTCATTATCAATGTTAAAAACAGTTGTCCTGGCAATTTAATGCATCCTTGCTAAATAAAAGTATTAAATTCTTTCCCAAAATAAATCCAACTGACCCCAAACTTTTGAGTGCTAGTGTACATTTACAGTTTTTTTTTACACAATCGCTAGGACACATTTCTCAATACTTTGGTCACTTTTTCAAAACTCTTCACACAGCGAGCACAACACCAGTCTATGTGGGTTAAACTGTGAATCATTTATCATTGCTTTGGCACAAAATGCATTCATTGATGACATCTGTCAAATTACATGACTTCTTTTGTCACTTTGAAACTTTATGTACTATGCAAGCCAATTAGCACATGCTGTTTTCAAAACTGTTCAACTTAAGTTCAAAACCTAGCACAGGACAAAAATAAATAAGACAGAAATTTGCAACATTTCTAGAGTAATATCATATAGAAAAACATTCTGAATGTAAAAAATCAAATACCATCAAAGCAGTTGCATGTAGCTGAACATCTTCACAAGTGTTAGTCTTTCACTTTCATTACCAACTATACAAAAGGGGAAAACCTGTAAACATAGACCATGTAACATATACTGCAGTGAATTATAAACAGTAGAGAGTATCATTCTTGTGATACTCTGTATAACATTGTATAATGCTACCTGTTGTTAGTGTTTTTTTAGGTTGTTGTGTTATGCGTAATAAAATGTGTTTGTTTGGTGAAAATCTTTGCTAGTGTTATGTAAGAATGAAGTTGAAACATGGTTAGGAGAACTTTGTGAAGAGTTTGGAAAAGTGACGTTAGTATTGAGAAATGTGTCCTAGCGATTGTAAAAAAAAACAACAAAACAAACTGTAAATGGAAATTTGTTAAACTGGAAACCAAACCACAAAGTGTAACTATGTAAACATTTGAATCATCGGGATTGAGTCAGCGTTGATGGATAGGTATTGTTTGTCACTTTGTGTGAAACTTGCTTCAAGCCCAAAATATCTTATTTTTTTCAAATAATTTTCTCTGTTATTTTATGTTGCTTCATAGAAGACTATATGTCTCAAGGTTGTTGATAAAGAGTTTAATATTGTGCTTTCTGGGATTGCTACTTGCAACGACATTAGTTTTCGGAGCTGTGATTTTGCCATGCGGCACCAGGCTCCTATAATGTGACTACTGTACTGACACACACTTATCCACACTGTTCAAACTCACCGTTGGCAGTGTCCACCCCAGCCTGTGATCCGGTGATGTGGTGCCAGAAAGCACTTCGTGGTAAGATTGCTGTCGGGGTGCAGGGGTAGGAAGTCCCCTCTAAACCCTTAGATAAAAGCTGGGGAGAGATAGAAGAGAGATGGGAAAGAATTAATTAGTTTGCTATTAACACAAAATTATGCCTTTGGTTCTGGTGTTTTGAAAGTTGTAAGACAGGAAGAAAATCAGTTGTCTGCAATCTCTCCAGCTTTGTTTTAATACACACTAGGTGTCTACCGTTTCAAAATATGGACTTTTTTTTTTTTTTTTTAATTTATAATAGAAAATAGCTATATAAATTATAATAATACTTCACAGTATTACTGTTTTACTGTATTTTTTTATCAAATAAATTAAAGCTATAAATAAATAGTATATTGTAGTGTATATTATCAAAGTAAAAATTTGCATGAAACAAGTTGAACTGATTTGAGACTGTTAACAAAGAAGGTCTTTTGTACAAAGGAATTCACAAGGCCAGTGTTGCAAAATTGCTTATTATAGTGACCTAGAAATAGAGCAGACTATTTTTTGTTGAAATGTCTTAGTTTTAAATGTGTCAAAACATTTAGTCTATTCTCTGTTTCAAATTAGATTTTCAAAGTGGCCTCAGGCTTTTGAACCCACTGCATGCTTTGTTACCTTGCTGTTTTTTTCCATTTCCATGAGGACTCTCTTATGCTGCTCAGCAATAGCTAGAGTGGAAGAATGAACCCTTTGGTAGATCTGCTCTCCTTCCCGTGTCTGGAAAGTGTACAGACCCTCCCCACTGTCACACATCCTAACAAAATAACAAACAAGATAGCAATACACAATTTAGCAAAGCAAACACGATAAACTACAAAGAAGGAACCCATAGGCTAGACATGCTTTGTGTGTTGCATTATAATAGCCAGTAGGGGACAGTGTTACATCAGACTCGAACTTCTCTTTAAAACTCTCTCATCTTCGCTCTCAAAGGGCATCCAGCTGGCGATGTGAATCTTCTTTTATTATTTGATCAAAGCAGTGAGGGAGATAAGAACACCTAATCTGCCACTGAACTCCTTGTAATGCACTCAATAAATCCTTTTAGGAGGTCCACAGGCCTGCTTCCATGTTTCTCCTACATTTACATGACCACACTGAACTGAAATATACACTTCACAAGACTTTGTAAAATGTCATATTGGCTTTAAATGAATGATATCTTCAACATATTTTACCTGCCAGCCTCAAAGGTGAAGCGCGTAGCATCCCGTCCGTAGCGCCGCAGCGAGCAAAGCGGCCAGGTTACTAGCTTGGTGCGAGGGTTGTGAATATCCCACAGGTAGATGTTTTCATGCGTGATCTGCATCATACACTCTCCGTAGATGTCAAGATTGGGGCAGGGCAACAGGAACACGTTGAAGCGCTCTGTAAGAAAAAAAAATGAGACACTGATAGTGAAAAACTAGGTACTTGGTTAACTGTATTTGCTTAACTGGTCACTACACTGTAAAAATAAAAAAGAAGAAAAAAGTATTTTTTTTACAGAACAAAAAAGCTTAACCTTAACACATATGGAGAAAAAATTAAATGGTTTAGCATCACATCATATGTAATTTTTCCTGTAAAATACAGTCTAATTTGTTGGTTAATTGTTGGTTAAAACTATAAATTACCATATAATTATCCATGAAAAACAGTAAAATACTCCTAGAAGTCCCTGTGACACATCACATATGATTATATTTTATATAAATAATTTACTTTAGTCTTATTTCTATTATATACATCAGGGTGGTTACTGTTAAATTTTCTGTCATTTAATAAATGTTTATTGCATTATTTTAGTGTCATGTTACGGATAGACCAAGCAGATTTTGGATGTTCAAGTAGATCAGTTAGTTACATCATATCACGTAATGAAATATACAGTAAAATAAACCAGTATCAATTTTCCATCCCGTAATAGCCAAAACATTGTCATCATATTTTTTACAGTGAATTTCTGGCAACCACAGCTGCTGTTTAATTAATGGAAATTTAACAGGATATTTTTGACAGTGTATATTAAACTAAGTGCTACCAAGTTGTCACTGAAGTACACAACAGATCTAAAGCCATACTCTTGATATGAAACAAGCTACAGGAATCCAGCTCATAGGAAAGCAATTGTACAAATGACTTTAGTCTCTTACCTGTGTGTTCACACTGAACTCCAGCGGCCAGGAGGTCTGGTTCCCCAAGACTGATGTCATTCAGACGTGTCCCCAGGCACTCGATAGACAAGGTCTTAAACCACTCTTCAGCCTCCAGCTCTGTGAGAACAGGAAGATTCAATGATGTCAATGAATGAACATGTTCTTTCAATGAAAATGTTCTATGAATAAAACATACACTAGGAGATGCGGTCTGTCATTGTGCCTGAGAGCAGCACGTCATCAGACCGTATAGACCGAAACGCTAATATCAAGAATGAAAGCTTCTTTAAGTGAAGCATCCTCATCAGCTGCTGCAGCAAAACAAGCCTTAGAAAAGATGATGTACCTGATTCACAGGTGAAGGTTCGAGAGGTGTCATCTGTAAAGACGATGGCCACGGCTTGCCGCTTCGTGTCACGAGGCAATCTTGTGATGTTCTTCACATTACTAATCTCTGTCACCTGTGTGTAAAATGAAACCAATGCAAACTCAGAAGTAGTGGCAGAGCCTAGTTATTCAGACAGACTTCATTTGCAACATTTGGAAAGGCACTTGTGCTCTCTTAATCATCTAATTTATCTTTCACAGAGCAGCGTAGTGCAGTAAAGAAAGGCAAATGAGAGCGATAAACACACAGAAACCGGAGGCCTGTGAGTCAGCAAAGTTAGAGAAAATCACGTGGATACTTTTATTCAAGAAATTATCTGTTTACCCACTGCCAGCCTCGTAATCTCGCCCGCCAGCTCTTGCGGTATGAATGTGCTCTACGTGGCTGTTAGTAAAATTGGAGAACTGAAGTGACACTTGAATGTTTTCCTTGAATGTCTCATTTCTCCCGTGACATTTTCATGGCTTAGATTAGACCTCAACTGAACTGTTGCAGTGAGAAGTGTACCTTAGGACAGACTCTGATGTAGGCTGACTTCTCATCAGGGTATTTTTCCAGTCTGCGAGGTCCTTTACTGGACGACTTCTTAAACACCAGCCAGCAGCGCCGATAGATCTGAAACACACATGCGTATAAACACAAAGGGTCCAAAAATAACACTCAACATGTGCAAAAGGCAGGAAGAAATTAACTTTAGTGAGTAGATCCAATGGATTCACTTTTCATTTAACAGTGTTAGTAAATAATTAGTGTTGTTAAATATTAAATATCAGAGTGTAATGTAAAATGTTATGTAAAATATGGAAAATTAGCATGTACATTTAAATAATCAGTATCAACTGATACAGATACACTACCCTTCAAAAGGTTGGTAAGATTTTTTTCATGTTTAATGTCTCATTCTCACAAAGGCTGCATATATATATATATATATATATATATATACACACACACACACACACACACACACACACACACACAGTAGTAGTATTGCAAAATATTAAACGGTAATTTGTGAAATATTAAAATTTAAAATGGCAAAGCTGAATTTTCAGCATCATTACTCCAGTCTTCAGTGTCACATGACCCTTCAGAAATCATTCTAATATGCTGATTTGGTGTTAAAAAAAACATTTATTATTATTATCAATGTTAAAAACAGTTGTCCTACTTCATATTTCAGAAGAAACAATTTTTTTCAGGATTATTGATGAATAGAAAGTTCAAAAGAGCAGCAGAGAAATCTTTTGCAACATTATAAATACCTTTACAGTCACTTTTGATCAATTTAATGCCAAAATAACAATAACAATTTCTTGAAAAAAAAAAACCTTACCCTAAACTTTTGAATGGTAGTACAAATAAACTACACTGAGAGACTGGGTAATATATAATATTATGCCGTGTGTGCACAGTGACCTGCGCTTTATTGCAAAAATACAAGGGGGGGGGGTGCTGGATAAATGTGTTATTTGCGCGATATGAAAGCTTCTAATTAAGTCTACAGCAGTTGTGATCTGTCTTTATCTTTTGTAAACACACTCTCTCCCTCAATCGACCCTGCTGCCATAAAGCTATTTTCTGTTTATACCACTGATGTCCTTCAACGACAGATCCTACAGTTGCCACGGTAACCCCCGTCCATTTAGGCAAGTGCTCCAGGAAATTGTTCCTGAGCAACATTATTTCTATATCATCTATTCAACAACCATTATGACCCTTTTTCAGAACAGCCTGATGTATTGGTTTGCTGAGGAACAGCAGTTCGGCCTTATGCTTTCCTTTGTGTTGGAAGTGTTGGAAGATAACAGGAATGGCAATCGAGAAACTAAACATTTGAGCTGTATTGAGTTAACAAGGAAAAAGTGTATTCTTTAAGGAAAAAGCAAGCTTGGGGGGAGAAAAGGGAGAACTATTTGTCTTTTTTGCCTCAACCCTTTAGAATGAATTAAAGTCAACGTGTTTAGACTGATCAAATTCCCTGGTGTTTAGACACTGTTTTTAAATAAAGTTACATTCTGACTCACACAGTCATAAACGCTGCATTAGTCATCAGGCTTGTATTATGACAGGTCTGCACTGCACCTCAAATATAACCACGCGCTTTTAACCATATTGTCCACGAATGAACATATCAATATGTGATTTGGACTCAAAGGAGTCCAAAAGATAAAATCTTAACTTTGAAAGTTTCATGCAACGTACAGTGTGTCTAGTTTCCTGCCGAGATGACTGATAGAAAGCTGAACTGAGCTGATGAGCTTTTGTTTTTATCATCTAAGCTGACCTTAATGTCATTGCCACTCGAATGCTTGGACCCATCTAACGAAGAAAGTTAGCATGGTTTTCCACTCACAGCAGGTAAAAGATTGATCCCTTGTTTGCATCATAGTGTCCCCTGAGGTTACACTAATCCTCTGTAAACAGACTGAGTGTTTGTGTGTGTGTGTGTGTGTGTGGGTGGGTGAGACGTCCCCTCTCTCACTGCTGCTCAACTGTTTGTATATCTGTCTGAGCAACATTAATACACACACACAGTACATACAAAAAGCAAATATGCTCCATCCTGGTGTCACTCCCTTTCTAAAGAAGTACCTTGGTAACCTTTATTTCCATTAAAATGCCGTCGTTTCTACAGTTAAAATTACAACATTTAACTTGGTATTAGCACTACTGTCATCAGAAAGAAATTAAAATGAAAGAAAGTGGACAGAAGCTTCTTTTACTGTTTCTGAAGGAGATCCTGCACTACTGTTCAGAAGTTGGTCAGTAAGAATGTTTTTAATAAATGAACACTTTAATTCAGTAAGGATGCATTAAAATCATGAATAATAAGCTCATAGGATGAACAGCATTTTTTTTTGCAATAGAAAGTTATGTTTTTTGTGCACCAAATCAGCATATTAGAATGATTTCTGAAGGATCATGTGACACTGAAGACTGGAGTAATGATGCAGAAAATTCAGCTTTGTATCACAGGAATAAATTACATTTTTTAAATATATTCAAATAGAAAACAATTACTTTAAACTATAATATTTCACAATAATACAGTTTTACTGTATTTTTGATCATACAAATGCCGCCTTAGTGAGCACTAGAGACTGCTTTAAAAAATGTTTGTATGATTGTATTTGTTGCAATTCCAATGCTCCTTTGGGATCTATTTTTATTGTCAAAGCAAATACTAACAAAATGGCCTTGGTAATTGACATTAATTAATTGCTTTTAGCTGAAAGCAATAAATCATACTCTAAATCAAAACATTACTAAATATCGTCATGACTACAATAACAGCGTGGTTTTGAATGTTATTTTGCTCAATTATGGTTTACAGCGGTAACAGTAGCTGAAGTAACCATGGCATTTTTTTTGCCAGAAACCATGGTGACCATGGAAATTGGTAATCTGTATGAAAATGGGCAGTTATTGTCTTGTTTGTTATATGAAAACACTGTAACTTTTAAACTGCTCCATGGGGAATAAATCATCATGGCAGTCAAAGCAAATGGGTTACAAACATGGGGGAATAATGCATGGAGGACTACACAACACTTATCTCAAGAGCTTACTGCAGGTCAATATAAGAGAATAGGAAGGAGCAAGAGAACAAAGTAAACAATAACAGCTTATGGAGGCACAGGGAAAATTCAGAGTTTAAACTAAAGAAGTGAAAAGGAAGAAAAAGGAAGAGGAGATAAAACAGAGGCATAATCTGCCAACATTTCATAGCATAATAAGCCTATAATGAGTCTGTTTGCCCCTGGAATGAATCCATTTCTGCATTTTTTGTCAGCTGTTCATCTCTCATCTGCTCTTCCTCTGAGATCTGACAGAACTCAGCTTGGCATCCTAGGATGGTCAAAGGAATAATGACACCACTGTAACAGTTGCTATGCTTAAAGCTAAAATTAAACCACTTCCTCTCAGGCAAGACTAAATTTAAAATGGCAGCTTACTGACTGTGTCCACTGAAACCTGTTGGGGATTTTCTGAAACTATTCTAAAATTCAGGTCCTGTCTGTTTGTGTCACAGAACTACTGCATCACAGTAGCTTCAGATCTTTGCTTTGTCCCTCAGAGATGCATAGCGAAAATAGTATTGCAATGTATGTCCATTTGAATTTTGGCCTTTATTGTCTGCATCGACCAACACCCTCCCCATCTAATTGTGATGTCTGGTGTTGAGCCTCTTATGATTGCAAATGCACTCAAAAGGGCTGGCAGTGGCTGAGGAGCAATTAGGGAAATTCCAGCATGGCAGCGAGGCCGGCGGTATGGGGCTGCCGGAACCCAAGCAGAATGCTAAACAGCGCTCTGATTAGTCTGATTGGACCTCTTGGTCCCGAAGTGGACCGCAGAGATAGACAGTGAGAAAGGGAGGGAGTGATAGAGAGGCATACAGTATGGCTAATTAGCATCCCCAGAGGTGCACAGGAAGCTTGGCGAGGGAGGTGAAGAAGAGATCGTAAAGAGGAAGTGGGGGGGGGGACGTAGAGACAGTGGTCCAGAACGGTGTGACAAAGGGCTGATGAGACTCGCCCGGCTGCTTGATTCCAACACGTATGAAGACAGAGAAAGCAGGTGCCACCACAGCTTACAATTAACCACAATTTCTTGATGCAACAACATTAAATTCTATCCGACAAGCTGATAATTACATTTACATTCATGCATTTGACAGATGCTTTTATCCAAAGCAACCTGCATTGTATTACATATACAATATATACATTTTATAAATTGGGAATCGAACCCGACCTTGGCCTTGTTAGCACAACATTCTACTGTTCGAGCTAAAGGAATGTCTACATAACAGGATAATTAATTTCACGTTATGGCCACTAATAAAAAAAAAACAAGAGCAAAATTGTGTTGCCATTTACAAGAATTGCTTCCATTTTAATACATTTTAAAATGTAACGTATTCCTGTAACGGCAAAGCTGATTTTTCCGCAGCCATTACTCCAGTCTTCAGTGTAACTTGTGCGATGCACTGTGCGATGTCCGAACTGATTGCACTATATTATATGTATAATCGTCTTCTTAAATTCATTTTAAACCTCTTAAATCAATTTTTTTTTAAATAATTTTCAAAGTTTTAAAATTCCTTGTTTTATTGTTGTGATTATTGTTTTTATTTTATTTTATGCAAAGCACTTTGAATTACCATTGTGTATGAAATGTGCTATACAAATAAACTTGCCTTGCCTTGCCTGCCTAACTTGATCCTTCAGAAATCATTCTAATATGCTGATTTGGGGCTCAAGAAACATTTTTTATTATTAGCAGAGTTGAAAACAGTTGTGCTGCTTAATGTTTTTTGTGGAAACTAAGCTATAAATATACATAACTTTCATTTTCACAGTCCTCCGGCAGTGTTTCATTAACTTTAATATCATCAATGCTATTAAATTCCACCATACCATACCACCAAGACAGCAAACGACTTTATTTTTATTGAAGAACCATAAAACTCCCTCATGTAGTTTTAAACCTTTATTACTTTCCTTCTTCTTTGGAACATTAAAGATATTGTGAGAAATGCGTCACTGTTTTTCCCTTACAATAGAAGTCAATTGTAACCAAAACTCTTTGGTTACCAACATTCTTGTGTTTTACAGAATAAAAAAAACTAATTTAGCTTTAGAATGACATCAGTGTGAATAAATTATGACAGAATTTTCATTTTTTTGTGTGTGAACTATCCCTTTAAAATACCTGGATGTGAGTGCACTTGCATACATGTGTGTACAGAATCCAGAAGCATCAGCTTGTTAGCTCCAGGTCTGACAGAGAGCTACAACCAAAGTCAAATATGACTAAGATCTCATTGACCACACCCTTTCTTTAACAAACACAGCAACAACTAAATAAACCTGGGTGGTCAAAGTCTTTACCACCCGCAGTCAATTCAACTCTCAGATGGACAATACAATGAAAATGCTTTAATGTGGGAGCTTTTAGCCAATGAAAATGGATTAGTAAGAACACAATATTTCCTCCAATCTGTGGAGGCTGGTTCCTCTAGAGCCAGAAAAAAAGTAGAGAGAGAGAGAGAAGGATAGGACACAAATGCAAATGCCGCCACACACTCACTGCTGCTGCCAAATCAGAGCAGAGGCAACAGCATGGATGTAAATAGTATTAGCTGTGCACAAGCAGGGATTTACGATATTGTGCTTGCATTACGTGCACTAGCATAATATTAAATAGACAAAGAAAATTGACTTACAATTAGGGAAGCCATTTGTTAAACATTGACGGAGGAACGGTACCCATTTTGAGTTTGCACAACACAGGAGAGCAAAATTGAGAGACAAAGACAAGCACACATAGGGTACAGACACAAGATGTGTCCGTGTAGAAGGAAGATGAGAGAGAAATGAGAGAATGAAGGGAGAGGAGGAATAAAGGGTAAATAAAAAAAAAGTGGCAAATGGGAGAAAATATAATCTCCTCTTAGATTGTTTAGCACTGCGTTCCCCAGGGGGACCATGTGTCACAACCCCGCTGCTGCCACGGTAACCGCAATCCTGCTGACTACATAATTCAGCCATCGACCTGTGCATGAGCTCGAGAGGCACTCAGAAAGTCACTAGACATGGTAATGCTGGAACTTCTTAGACATTCTGAAACATCAATGCAGCCAGCTGATCCAGATTGATTTCAGCAGTGAAATAGTTTAAAAACATATGCTTGCAATCATAAAAGCATATGCGGAGCAGGAAAATGCGTAATGGAAAGTGAATGTAATGCAAATAAAGCAAAGACAAACATGCTAATGAAAAATGACAAGTATAATGACAAAAAAAAAAAGAAAAGAATGAGATTTTTTTTTCTTTACAAAGGCTATATATATATATATATATATATATATATATATATAGGTGCATCTCAATAAATTAGAATGTCGTGGAAAAGTAAATTTATTCCATGTGTCACAACCCCGCTGCTGCCACGGTAACCGCAATCCTGCTGACTACATAATTCAGCCATCGACCTGTGCATGAGCTCGAGAGGCACTCAGAAAGTCACTAGACATGGTAATGCTGGAACTTCTTAGACATTCTGAAACATCAATGCAGCCAGCTGATCCAGATTGATTTCAGCAGTGAAATAGTTTAAAAACATATGCTTGCAATCATAAAAGCATATGCGGAGCAGGAAAATGCGTAATGGAAAGTGAATGTAATGCAAATAAAGCAAAGACAAACATGCTAATGAAAAATGACAAGTATAATGACAAAAAAAAAAGAAAAGAATGAGATTTTTTTTTCTTTACAAAGGCAATATATATATATATATATATATATAAGAATAACTAACAGGGACAGCAGAGGAGATGCTCTCAGACCCCGTGAGACTGAATCTCCTGTCAGAGGAAGATTGTAAAGCTTTAATGAGGTCTCTGGGCCAGAGATGAGGTTAAATTAGTAGTATGAATGTAGTCCCCCCATGTCCTGCACCATTATTGCTTCACGAGCCTCTTCCAAGGGAACGATTTGCTCAGTCTCTTCAAAAACATCCAATTATCCAGTAAAAAGGAGGCAATATGTTCTGTAAGATGTCTAGTCTGATCTGGGTGAAATGTTAAACAACATAAGGAATGCTTGGACGTTCTGATGCCACATTCAGCAGTGCTGTCATTTATCTTGCAAATTCATTAAAGTAAATGCTAACCAACACAAACTGATATAATGCTTGTTACCATATATAAAACATATAATAATACTAATTAAAGGTAATTTTATTAAATGCCACAAGATAGCATTTCAGACTCTATGCGGAGAAATTTTATGCCACTAAAATTTGAATGCCATATTGTTAATAAAACAAAGATTATTGGGGGGTATGTTTTGCAAGAGAATACCATATCAGTGTTTCTACTTTAAAAATTCATAATTCAATGTGTTGCAATTATTTGTGAAATTTACTAAAATCCTTCACCAATTGTTTGTCACTGCACTAAAAAAATTATAAAACCTAAACTAGAAAACTCTGAAATAAATTAAATGAATGTAACAAAATTAAACTAAAACTGACCAACTGAAAACGAATGAAAAGTAAATTAAACGGAAAAGATCGATTGGGAAAAAAACAAAAACAAAACCATGACAATCGGACTGAAGTCTCAATGATAATACAAGTTAACCAGCATAAGACCAAGCCGCCCATCAAGTGCACTAAAAGCTACTAATTACTACTCACCCCCAGTTTCCTGCTCCGCATGCGGACATAGCCCTGCTTGACAATGTCATTGAAATTGGAGGCCATCTCTGAGGAAACTGGGAACTTCTAGAATGAATAAAGGCTTGCATCCAGCCCTTCGGTTTCCCCCTTCAGCCAGTCCAAACAACTCCTTCCCTCCTTCGTTCACTTGTCTTCCAGTCTTCTTTGATCTTGTCTGCTCTGCAACTTTTATGGAACTTCACGTCCAGAAGGTCATGTAGATCTTCAGACCAGGTTCACCAACAGGATTCTTGGTGTCTCCTCAATCCTGCATGATCACTGAGAGACGATAAAAAGGGCACATATTTTATTCATTTACGAGAATGGCGATTACTTGTAAAATGATAGATTATTCACTGATTCACCAGACATCTTCACTTGGGTGAAATTTGCCCACCCTTCCATGAGAATACACTTTTTTTTTTACTATACATTTTTTTTACAGAAATTTTCACTGCTGAGTTAAATAAACATTAAAGTTCTATATGACATATTTCTACCCAGCGGCTGCTTCAAATGTCATAATGGCCTAAATTAAAATCCACTCTGACTGTAAACATTATTTCCACTCTAAATAGCCCAAACCTCGTTTTTTTTGGAGAATGAGAGAGATTAAACATTTTAAAGTAGCAGACTTTAAGCTGAGATGAAAGAAAGTCATGCAGGTTTGGAACAACATTAGAGAGACTCAATTATGACAGGATTTAAATTTTTGGGTGAACCATCCCTAAATATCAGAGCGAGAAATCTTACCCACATATCTAATCTTGTAAACTTTTACAAACCCTCAATTTAAAAGAAAAACCGCTGACTTATAAGAAGTAATAGAAGCATAATGTGCTAAACACACAGTTTCTTGGGTTCTAAGCATTCATAATAATCCTCTGAGCTCCGACCCTCAGGCCAAAGAACTGGGACATGGTTGTAAGTGCAAAACTAACAGCATCATCAGCATGCTCTGGAACAACACCACAACGTGGTACACTTCCCCAGAAGAGAGCCGGAGCTTAAAATTCTTGACTGCAGTGGAACACAGACATTAAACTTTAACAAGGAGCTCATTAGCCAGGACAGAGCCAGGCTAATCGTCGTCGGCGCTGTTGGTTTTAAATAGTGGCTCGCTCAGGGAAGGAGGGGCCATTTGCTCCAGTAGAATATCAGTGAATCATAATGCCATTATTATGTGCTCTCATGACCCAGCTTCAAAAGCCCTTGTCAGAAGAGTGAATGGAGAAATAAAGATAAAAGGGAGAACAAGAACAGTTGAAGGAGGATATGAACGATGAAAAAAGCAGTTTTGAGAGGACCTCAATGGAACAGCATAATGAAAGATCAAAACAAATCACAACAGCTTGAAAATCAAGACTTTAAGTGTCAGCCGAGCCTCTTCATATAGCAGTAATAAATAGTCAAATCCTTTAGACACAAAGAGAGTTTAAGAACAGAGGTAAAGATATAAGAAGTCCTTCATGAAGCTGTTGTTTTAATGTAATTTGTTTTACCCAATTTACAGTGGTCAATAAAAATCAGTCATCTTTAATGCCCCAGAATACATCAGAAAGGTCACTTTGCTTAAATTTGAATTTACGTTCAAATTTATTTTGATAGCAGACGTTCTTAGCACTGTGACTTGTATATGTGTGCATGAAGTGTATCATGATTATTGCTGTTCAGCAGGAGGCAACAGACAAATCAAGCATAAAGTTAAAGCAATAAAGTAACAGTTTAATATAAGAGCTGCTAAGAGCCTTCTGCTGTATGATGAATGGGTATATTCAAGTAAGAGTGTATAGCAATATGCTGAATACTAGCAATATGCAAGTATTAGGTCATGTGCAGTGAATAGGAATCACAAGGTTTTCAGTCTACCAGAGAGGGAGATAAAAAAAAAGAAAAACGATAGAAAAATGGCAAGCAATTCTGAATGATTTTCTTTTAAATGTTTGAATATTAAATTACATTTACAAAATTACATATTAAATATATGAATCTAAAGAAATATGGTCTAAATGGCAGACAGAAAAGATGTTTACAATGTTATTTATGTATATTTACAAAAAGATTTCACCTCCAGATAAATTATGTTTTTTTTAAACTTTCTATTCATCAAAGAATCCTAATAAAATTGATAATGGTTTTCACAAAAATATTAAACGCTAAACAGTACAAATATTTTCAACCTTAATAATAATAATATTGTTTTCTGAGCACCAAATCAGCATATTGGAATTATTTCTGAAGGATCATGTGATACTGAAGATTCATTCAAATTGAAAACAGTTATTTTAAATTGTAATATTTCAAATGATCATATTTTGAAATATTATATATTATAATATACTGTTTTTACTGTATTTTTTAACTAAATAAATGCAGCCTTGGTGAGTTTTTTTTTCTTTTTTTTTCAAAAACAGGAAAAAAAACTTAATGACCACAAACTTTTGAATGGTGGTGTGTTTACACACACAAAACCTATTATTTTTAATAACAAAAAATACTAAACTACTAAAAAAATTATAATTTATTTTAATAATATATACACATATAAGCACAAACATGAACACAATCATAGCCAGTGAGTAGGCAGCTGTAAGTATGTTTAGGGTGTTAATTTCAAGTAATCTCAGGCCTGGACGAACATGAGGTGTTGCTGGCAATCTTTGCCAGTCACTTCTATCTTGAGATTGCCAAGACCGAAATTAGCCGAGAAGCCCTGTCGTTGCCTGAGCGGAGGCTTCGCTTCTCTTCTCTTGTTTGTCGCAGGAAGAAACAGTGGCGACTAAGGAATCCAGGTGTGAACAAGACTCAGAGGCAACTAATGAATACAGAAACCAGAATATCTCACCCAGCCCCCTGCAGCACTAGCGACAAACAGCTTGTTAAGATGCAGGTGACACTCAAAGTGGGAGGACGAATGGAAGAAGAACATCTGTTTTGACTGTTAAGTGCGGGTACTGACAGAGAGCAGAGAGCAGAGAGCATGCAGCAGACAGATTACTCTCTGTTGAATGCCTGGCTAATGATAGGCCTGTGATGCCTTGTTACCAAGTCTTCGTAATCCCTAAGAATTGGCCAATTACAACACATTGTTATGGGTTTAAGTCCCATTTAGAAATATGGAGTTAGGTTTCACAAACACATCTTTTGTGTTTGTGGCTAGCTAGCCTCCCTTCTGATATCAACCAATCATCACAGAGACGTAAATTACGTGATATTAGTTTGAACGTCTGCCGCTGCGCTGATAATGTACCAAGTACGTATGATGAGTTTTGAGAGTTTCTGATTGCCAACAGATTTACCAAGCTGTCATTCAAACAGTATATATACAAATTTAGGGAAAACAGCCTAAGCTGGATATAGGCTACAGCAGTCGGCTTAATTAAATGGCGCAACAGGCAGCTCTCTTTTCACACAGACTTTTAAGAAGGGATGAACGTTTGCTTCAAGTGATAGGTCAGGTAAGTGAAATTATATTATCTTGCTGTATGCATGTCGTTTTCTTTATGTTTTCTGACTAAAAGCAACCAAAAAGCCATTTTAAAGTGGTTAAGCAAGTAATATAATAATAATAATCGGCAGGGATCCCAGATCAATACAATTAGTGTGCCTCCTCTATTTTAAAACCCACGAACCGCCACTGGATCCAATATTGTTTAGGTTTGATCAAGAGACAAATCGTACAATTGAACAAAATGTACCTTCAATGATGAGGTTGGCAACTGTACAATAATGCAAATGGCACAATTATACAATCTCCTTTTATTGTTACAAAAATAATAAGTACATAAAAGCATTACTGAAATCACTCTTCATTTGTGTGGGTGATTACACTTTTATTTCTTATTTCTGTATCACGTATATTATAATTGATGTCTTACTATATTGTATAAAAGTCCACAAGTTTTTTGGAGGATGGAATAAAATTATTTAGTGTTCTTTCATATCACTTGAACAAATCACAATTTATTTTTAATAGTTACAGAATTCATAGCATTGCAGGAATGAGTCATATTTCTTGGAAAAACAAAATACAGTTAAAATGGATTAGGCCTACATGCTATCAATTTCCAATTATCTTTAATCTTGATATAGCGTGATCTTGAGAATGACAGAAAAAATAATGAGAGATATTTAGGAGAAATTACAGTGTAAAGTTCTGGTCTGGTCATATTTCTATTAGCAAGGGATGAACATTTTCAAGACAATCAATACAAGCTGAGAGCTGCTCATTCACTTCTATGTACTGTCTCCTAGTCAGCCATGAAGTGATAAAGCGTTAAGCAATAAAACTTCTCTTCCATGTAAATCTGATTTTTGTCCAACCCAGCTGCGACAGGAAATTGTGTCTGTTATTGGGATCTATTTTTTGCAGCTTTAAACAGGAAGCTTCACACTTCCAATCGGTCCAAAATTCTATTCTAGCTTAATATTTAACGTCAAATTGCCTGTAATCATTTAGTGCAAACAGACATATTGCTCTAAAATCTGAAAGACTATAGATAGTGTTACATTACCACTACACAATAACAAGAATATACAAGGCTTCATATTAGTTATACCTAAAATTGACATATTTCATGCATTTTGAATAAATTAGATGTCAATTTAATTCTCTTAAATTTTAAGGGGATGCCAAAAAAAGACAAAATCATCAACAATTTCAGGACCAACAAAGCTAATCACACCACCCACACACAAGTGTTAATAGACACTGCCACATACATAAGTGAATGAGAGCATTTAAGGCTGACACTACCATTCATTTACATGACGGTGGGTTGTCTTCTGGTTTCCCCAGGTCCACACTGATAGACCAATATGATTATCAGCACTGAATAATACATTAAATTAAATTAACAAGAAATGCACAACATATTAGGAAAATATTGTTTTTTGGGTGGTTTCAGCTGATATTAATATTTAATAATTAAGTTATCTGGGGATTTTAAGACAAATTTTTCTTTTATGTAGCACAAACTAGACTAGAACAGGGTTAAAATGCTGATTTCTTTAAGCGTATAGTTTCTTGAAAGCACTTTTCATTATTCTCAGCAATTGCAGTATTCATCTCAAAATCAACAGTTTCTCATATTCTTCCTGGACTGGAATACTGTGATGTCTAAATTCACTTAGGAATCATAACATTAATTTGACATGAACAAAATATTGATTGATGTTATTAGTGTTTTATTGTATTTTATTATTTAAGACAAAAGTAGTATCAATTTGTAATATTGTCCAGAACATGGAACTAATTATCAACTTTGGCCAGAACTGTT